GGGACGCAGGCCTCTCCTCCGCTGGGTTTTTTTTTTTTTCCCCCCTCCTCATCAGAAACGTGCCCGGAGGGGGTTACTGAACTAACACGAAGCGCTGTCTCCCTCTGCCCGTGGCCGGCCGGGAGCTGCCTTCCCCAGGCTGCGGCGGCGCGCACCCATCCCGCCTGAAGGCTGTAGCGCTTCCCAAGCCCCCCCTGCATCGCTGGTTTTTCAACCCTAGGGAAAGGAAAAGAAAGTCTGTTGTTGCCAGTTTGCCTCCTGAGTAAAGAAGGGCAGGCGGCACAGAAAGCCTGCCACGGAGCAGCGCCGTGAAACCCGGGTCTTTCAAGAGCTCATCCCTCCCGCCCCCAAGTACAGACCCCTTTACAAGAAATAGTCTAAGGACGAAGATCGTGGTTTTAGCAAGGGCTGAGAGCGGGCGCCAAGCAAAAAGCGTAAGAATCAGCTGGCATCGTAACAACGCTTCCCCCTTACCCTCCCAGCCTCTGGTCACCGGCCGCGCAGGGATTTTCTGGTGTCTCGGCGTTTAATTCCCCCCCTCCGGGCGGATCTTCTCCCTGTGAATGTATTTGCTTTTTGAACAAATGTAAAAATCTGGCAGCCAGAAAAATCCCGTGGCAAAGAGACCCGCAGCTTCACTGCAGACTGTGTAAAGAAGTGTCTCCTTTTACCTGGAAACGCCCACCTATACATTTATTCAATATGCAATACTGTTGTTGCACGGTGAGACATCACTCCCTTTGACGGAGGGGGGGAACGGCAATACAGCGTATTGACCAAGTGCTAACAGCATGGCTGCAGCTGTAACGACACAGCTTTGTACCCCTACAGCACATTTCCTCACTTTCCACTAAAACGTCCCTCACAAAAGCAGTTTTGCGGGACAGCTGTAAATTCAGCAAGGGTTTCTGTCAGCGCGCCTGCCTCAGCGGGCGATCACGGTCTCCTTCGGTCTCGGAGCAGCGTGAATTTTAGAAGACGCTTGTGTCAGGAACTTAATTTTATGTAACGTTAAAGCGAAGCAAACATAATTGAGTAGCTGCAACGCAAGCTAACGTATCCTCTAAGCAAAGGTATACAAGCGCGCATAGCTTTTCATGCCATCACAGAACAAATCTCGATGTCCCCAGCCCAAAACACATTTAACATGTCAAAATTCTGTTGCGGATGAGACACTTGCCATTTTCACGCACGTGGGCAGAACAAACCAATGCTAAACTGCTTGCATCCACGTCTTGTCTTAATTATTATCACACGCACTTTTTTTGCCATTGTATTTCTAAATGGCTTTATAAAGTGCTAAATCTGTACATATCCACAGAGTCAAAACCAAAAAAGCCTGTGGCATCTCTGCTAGACATTTATGAACTGCCTGTGCCTGCAGAAAACTGCAACTGAGAAAGAAATCACAGGCTGCAGACGGGCTCCCCCTTATCTCCCTGAAGTTCCTCTGCTCCCTGCACACCTTAGCTGCCTATCGCGGCCCACCAGGGTCCCGCTCTCACGACTGTTTTGTCAGAATTTGCAGCAAACATTGTGCTTGGTGCTCCTGGCGCGCGCGGGGAAGGTCTGAGCCGCTCTGTCCTCACAGTCTCGGAGATTACAAAGATTATCGGATTCGGAAGGTTTAACTAACGCAGCGGCTCGCTCGCCTAAAAGACCTTGGCGCACGATTTTAGTTTATTTCACGAGTACAAAAAAATTGGAGGGAGAGGGAACATTTTGGACAGTTTGACAGCTTCGCTATTCAGAAGGCGGTTTTAGGTCTCTCCCTTCACTTTGCAGTGACGCGTAGGTGTTTGCTTTTTCACACTACGCCTAATCAAATGGAGACTATGTGAACAGTTTGGGCCCAAGAAGTAATGCTGATGAACAGGGCCAAGCGATGGCCTGCTGGCGAGGGCAGCAGCCTCGGGTCACTAAAATGTGCAGTGACAGCCGCGGTTCTTAGCGGCAGACCCCCACCAAAGATGTTGTTAGATCAATGTAGTTAGTCTGATGCAAATTTTTAGGCATGAAAGCTGTGCTTGTTTTCTAGCGATGACACGATCTATCTTTCAAAGCTGCGTCTCTATGTTTGCGAAATTACATCATGCCATAACAGCAGAAAAACATAGCAAAAAGGGCTTCAGAAAGCTTTCTGTCAGGTGGGTACTTGTTTTGGTTTAGAGGTTAAACTTGTGTTTGCAAACTGTGGCCCAGTGCCACAGATGAAGTTATTGACTGCCTTTTTCTTTCATTTTCCTTTTTTTTTTTTTAACTTTCATTTAGATGTGACAAATATGACCATATTGTGAAGCCCTGACTTGAAGCTTTGGGAAAGCTTCTTGAAGTCATTTTTGCTGTCGTGTCTATTTTCATTGCATGATGTAGCTTAGTACAGAGATACAGCTATGCAAAACAAACCATGTCTTTAGTAGGAAAAAAAATGCTCTTTTAACATATTAAGATCCTCTTATAGACAAGGCAGTGTTAATTTAGACACACACATATTGGGTGGCTGAGAACAAGTCTAGGCTTAACTTCAGCTAACCACAAGAAGCCATCGTGTTAAAGCACAGCTACTTTTTCTGTGCTGTGGCTGAACATTCAAAGAAAAAGCTGTTTTCTTCCTCCTCTGTAGAGCAACCATGACTATTCAATGACCACGGCCTCTGCAGGTTGTGACAAGCAGAACCTAATTTTAGTAGCAAGACCATATGGCTTCTGCTATAGCCAAAAATTTCTATAGCAGCCTTATGTAAATTCAAAAAGAGAAGCAACATACGCAGAGCGGAATATGAAAATAAGTAACACTGCAGAAAATACTCTCTTAGGTACCTATTTTTCTCTATACCCACTCGTTTTTAGCTTGAAATAGATTAATACAACTGAAGTTTATTAGGCCTTTTAAAACGCCTCTTGCCTTCCTTTGGCATTGCAAAGAGTAAGTGTTAAAACCATAGCAATCAATCAATCAATCAACTGCTTTTTTTTTTTCAAACATACACTCAGTGTATAGTTCCCAATTGCACTTAGATTTACCCACAAGTTCTGTTTCCAAAATTTAATTCTGTACATACATATGTCTGGCTCCCGTTTATCCTTTTTCTTAAAAAAAAAATATTTATTTATTTATTTATTTATCTATTTATCTGTTCTTATTTTTCACAAATAATTTCTAGGTGTGGAAATGCTTACTGCCATTAGGGGCAAGAAAGGGAATTAACGACAAACATGCTGCTTTTTTTCCCCCTCCTTTTAAACTAATAATCAAAAAAAGAAATTAGCCTAACAAGCATAAGATCATTAGCTGCACAGGACTGTTTTCTGAAAATTTATGATGGGCTTTTCTTCAAAAAGAACAAACCAACAGCCACAGATAATTTACTGTTTCTATCCATTCTATTTTTATCTCTCCTTTTTTTCACATCACTTTGCAATTCAGATGCATTAAAATCTATTTCAACAGGTTGCCAACTGTCAAAAGTATTAAATATCAAAATATTAAGCTGGATGACTAGTTCGGTTCACGCCCTTTCTGTTACCTCTCTGAGACAACATGATGTTGCTCGCGTGCTCTCCTAAATAAATAAATGCTTTCCTAGCGTGCAGAGTTACACAGGGAGCTTGCTCATACAGCTCTCTGCTAGGTCAGCTACAGCAGACATGCTGTGCAGAATTAATTTTTGAAAAAGTGAAGATTACAGTGAAGGAAAGCATGGAAAGTACAAAATGAAAGGGTTTCATTACCCTTTCAGAGGTAATGCAACTGGCTTTCTTGGAAACATGACGTTCTCTGAAGAGCGCACACATGTGCCCTGACACATGAGACGAGAAAGTTTTCCCTCTGCGTGAGTCTCAAAGGGGTTTGCTCTCGCCAAAACTCTCCACCTGCCGCGTCTGCTGCCATTTCAGTTCCTTTCAGTTCAAAATAGCATCTGAAAGAAACTGAGAAAGAGAACAGAAAGGCAGACTGGATTAATTAAAAAAGCGATTTGAGAGGGAGCCCCCACAGGAAGCAGCTCTGGCAGGATAGCTGCGAGGTGTCACCCAGCAACATTATGCTGGAGGTGCTCAGGGTGCCATTAGTCAAATAACAACGGCAGCATCGTCCTGCTAAAAGCTATATAAGGAATACCATAGCGTTCGTTGAAGATGCAAACACCAAGCAACCTCACAGCAAATATCTAGAGAGGAAACACTGCACAGCTCTTCTGCTGAAGCTGCTGAACCACAGTCACGCATGCTCCGGCCACGCCACCATTGCTGTTTCAGCCCAGGCCCTGGGGTGACCAGAAGTATCTGATAGATACTGAGATACTGTGCAGGGAAAACGCAATTGTGATCTCCCAGCAGTAGCAGCAAGCAATATGGGGGACTTGAGAAAAGGTCTTCTTCACATGAGGGAGCGAGAAAAGATTCAGCTCACAAAACAAGGAAGACGTCTATACGATCAGCCTTCTAGGTGGAAGGTGGAACTGGCACAACTTTATCAAGAAACGTAAAGCAAGTCCAAAGGGAAACCTGATTTTGAAGGAGGCAGTATACTACTGGGGCAGTCCACAGCAACCTGAAATTCCCCCACTGACTGATGTAATACCCACAAGTCATGTTACCTTAAGGGTAAGGATGAGGAGGATCGAGAGGGATTTCAAGGGAAGACCCATGAATACATTTGAGAGTCAGTGCCATTCAGGATTGTACAGACAGTGGGCTACAGTTATGGGTTTTAGAAAAAACTGGCAGGACAGAGACTGCCAAGAGTTGCTAATTGAAGTAAAACTCTGCATCCTGCTATACCAAAAATTCTTTCAATTAGATAAGATTAAAACATTAGCCAGAAGTGAGCAGTAAGCATGCCAAAGTGAGATGCTGGTTCACCTAGCATCTTTTGGATGTTTGTGTCACCTAGCATCTGTTTGGATGTTTTCTTGCATTAGAAAGAACTGCTTGGGCCAGAGATGAACCATAGTGTATCTGTTGTGAAAAACCATTCACTGTCCACAATCCTTTATGGAGGATCTGAAAAGTGGGATGAAGCGCATAGGACTGCAGGAGCTCATTGGACTGCAGGTCTGGGAGAAGCAGACTCTTTGATGCCTTAATGAATAGATAAAGGAGGTCCTGAAACCACAGCTGAAGAAAGTACAGAAATATCAGTTCTCTCTCCCCTCCTTGCAGAAAACCCGCAGAAGCGGAGGAATTAGGCTAAAGCCTACACAGTTGGACATCTAACCATGGGAAGATAAGAGGAGGCACCCTGACTAACACCCAGAACGTATGGCACGCCTGCTTCGCAAACCGGCATACTTCTGGCTGCTCCCAAGTGAGACTCAGCTTCTCTTGCGTCTGGCCTTACAGACTCAGTGAGTCCCTCTGCTAGAGAAGTGCAAGATGTAGGGTGATGGAAAGTGCACGAGGCTGTTGCATGCACATGATCGCTGCGAATTGGTAGAAACCTCTAGAGACACTTCCCATACATGCTTTCACGTAAGGTGAGGTGAAGAAAGACTAACAGCCCCCAAGCTGGGTCTCAGCAAATGCCTCGAAGTGGACGTCATCATGACTAACCAGTTAGACAGGAATAGTAAAATAAGGGTTTTGCAAATAAAGAGATGCAAGCCAACCTCTTTCCCAAACCACTAGCAAGACAGATGCCAGGGCCAACATCTGCAACCTTAACCTGTGAATACGCATTCAGTTTGAAAAAGTCCACCATGAGACAGTCATCTCCTTTTCCACTTAGGCACTAAGTTAATTGCTATAAAACCCCTAGCGCTGCTGTTTACAGTCCCTCCGAGCACCAGAGAAAGCACAAAATGAATGTATTGCAATATTTGCAAAATAACACGTGCTACAATGAAGACTGGATGTCTTGCTTCCACAGCTCCAACAAAATGCACTGATATGCATTTGTCAAAATGGGATGCTAGACTGGAAGACCCACACATCTGATCCATTGTGACAATTCCTCAGCTTCTGCATGAGAACATGCACAAATATGAGCATACTCTTTTGAACTTTAGGTTGTTAAGGGCAAGAAATGTTACTTAGCGCTAAACCATGAATATAACGGCAAGCAGAATAAATACATAAACAATCGTCAAATACATACTCACTACAGCACATGGTCGTGTGGTTGCCCTACCTCTCAGGAATTTATTTAAGCTTTTACCTGGGGAATCAGCCAAAATCTTCAGAAGAAAAAGCCACTATTTCGTAAACTTGCATTTGGAAGGGGAAAAAAAAAGTTTTTTTTTTTTTTAAGAATTCAAGTATACTGAGTAACTTACAAATGGGGAGCACGTAATTGTGTTAATCGCTCATAAAAATGGACCTCTATATAGTCTATGTATTTTCGTATACTTTGGGTCCAGAACCCTAATATCATTTTAATGTAATAAACAACGAGACGGATTTGCTAATAAGTTTATTCTATGTGAGCAACTGAGAAGTTATAAGGCGTTTACTCACCTAAGGTAAAGATATTTAGAGAGTTGCTTTGAAGCAGTTTTAAAGGCATGCAAGGCATGCTTTTTTGTTGTTGTGTTAAATAGTTCTGAGTGGCAGCTAGAATAAAAAGCAAAGAGGAAGGAGCTTCCTTTCAAATCCAGAACAATCATAGGCTTTAGTTGTAGCCCTAAAAAAACGCACACAAGGAACAGGGATTTATTTTCATTTTTAATAGAAATTTATTCACTACAAAGAAAGCAATAGTGTCAAAAAAAGCAATATTTGCGGTATGAGAAACATAAGTTTCTCATTTCTCAAGTGCAAGCTAAAATGCGTGCTGACAGCTTCAGCAATGCAGAGTACAAGATTAGTCACTGTTGTGCTATTCACTGCTTGTTAGGTAATTTGATAGAATAAGACCATAAGAAAATATGAGAAACAAAATGTCTTTTTTGGTTATGGGAAAGCAGCTAGCAATCACTACATGATTGTGGCTGAAACATAACTGTAGCATTATGCTCATCCTAAAAGGAAAACTTCACAATGGACAAATGAAATTCAAAAAAAGAGGAAAGCATTTAACAGTTAATTGACTTAGAATTTAGCTTAATCTTAGAATTCAACTTAAGAAAGACGTAACTAGCTTTTAAGCATTTCAGGAATCGCACATTAAGATTACGGCAGAGAAGGAGCTCAGTGTAAGCTGCTGTAAACTTATGGTAAGACAGTATTTATGGTTGCACATTACAGTATTCCAGATGAAATCAAAATTGTTAGGATGCAACAGAATATTTATTATAATCTTAAATATTTATACAGTTAATCAGCAAGTTTTTGTGGACGTTACAACGAGCTTCACTATTTTTCCTTTGTTCTTGCAGCATCGAGGCTTCAGGCTTCTGAAGTACAACAGCAGAACATGCTGCTTCTCTTTGGTGGCACAGAGTACACAAATAGTATTTCTCCATTCTGAGGGGAAAGAAAGCGAGAAGCCAAACTGCAGTTTTGCTGTGGGAGGTCATTGTTTGTATTAATTTATTCCTATCGTCTACCCTTCATTATTGATTTGTATAACAACTGATCTAGTACTCTGAAAAGAATTGAGACACCTGACTTCCAGCAGCACAGCTTCAGGAGCCAGCCGAATAGTTTGTATTTCGATGTTGAATGGCATCCAGTATTTGGGCTCCCCAGACACCAGGGGCAGACACTGATGTACTGAGTGAGTGCAGCAGAAGGCCACCGAAATGATTAGAGCGCTGGAGCAGATTAGGTACAAGGAAAAGCTGAGAGAGCTGGGTCTGCCTTCAGAGAAGGCTTTGGGAGGATCTTACTGTTGCCTTCAACTACTTAACGGGAGGCAGTAGAGAAGACAGAGCCAGACACTTCTTGGAGGTGTAGTCATAGGATGAGAGGCAGTGGGTACAGACTGGGACATGGGAAATGCCAATTAGCTACAAGAAAACATTTTTTCACCTTGAATATGGTCAAATACTGTCCCAGGTGGCCTAGAGAGGTTGTGGAGCTCCATCCTTTGAGATGCTCAAAACTCAACTGCACAACCACCTGATCTAGTTGGACGTGCTTTGAGGAAGGCGATAGACCAGATGACCTCTGGAAGTCTCTTGCACCCTAAAACGCTCTGTGAATGTTGTGCTAGTGACTCTCTCTGGTCAGTTATGTTTTGTTTTTTAAATTCACCTGCAAATTCCTTAATTTGTATATTTGTTAAAAGCAGAAATATACCCCAATATCAATGTAAATCACAAATATGACATTTCAAAACTCAAGTGAGAATTGTGTACATTGCTTTAAGTACCAATGGCATTTTATCTGGATTTTAACACACTAGTACGTTAAGTGAGATGTGATCAGTAAGTGAACTTGAAGCTGCAGAGTATATACTCTGCTGTGGCACTGTATTAAGATATTAACTCTTTTTTGTAAGCAGTCAGTTACTGAAAACATAATCTGTACAAATCTCATCTAGTCAACCAAAATAGCTGTACAACTTTAATGTGATATGCCCCATTTATATAACTCATTAAGCTCTGAGGCAATTCCATTCATTATCAAGTCTCCACAATAACAATTACCAGTTTTTACGTATATTAAAAGTAGCACCGCATTCCGCTCTCAAAAGTACAAAAAAAAAAAATCACTTTAATTATAAATTAGCTCCTAAGCTCAGACTGACTCTTGTCAGGAAAGGTATTTTGCATTTCCATATACAGTGCCTTCCACATCAAAAGCTCTTCAAAGTGCTTGGCAGAATGCATGAACGTTATCCCCACTTCCTTGATGAGGAAACTAAGGCACAGAGGTCAAGTGAATTGCCCACAATCACCCAGTGAGTGACTGGTAGAATTAACAGAACAGAATTTGGGTCTTTAAGTTGTCCAGTCTAACCACCGCACCTCTTTATCTCTATACTAAGTGCAATGGTTTAAACATTTCTCTGAGGAGTGAAACTCTTAGAGCATACAGTAAATAGAAGTGGCAAACCAGAGCCAGTCAAAGGCTGCAATGATTCCAATCAAAAGCATAAACAAATTTGGTATTCAGTAAATCAAAATGCACTTCAGTGAACAGTCACATTGGAAATTACGCATTAACCTGGAGAGAAGCAGCTCATTAAACATAAGACATAATGGTGTTATCTTTGCAAAAAATATTGATCATCTTAGGCCTGACTGTAGTTCAGGTAACGCTGACTCCATCAGAGAAGTCATGCTTCCTCATCAGCAGACATCCTAAACAGTTTTCAACTGGCAAGGTACACGTCCCTGGAGATGCGCACTGAAACGCACAAAGGGGCCAAGTATCTCCCCAGTAGATATAAATTTGTATGAGCACAAAAAAAGTATTAATCACTTCTGAGGTATGAACTAAATGATGGAGAAATACCAATCAGAAATAACAGAAGTCTAAAATAAATAAAAGTAAGAAAATTGTATGCCACCCATCAAAAAAAATCACCAAGAAATGCATCTTCAAATTGATTACACGGTACAAAAGGAAGTGCGATACATGTAATCACCGCTTGGATGAGAAGCGTGCTATAGCCTAGCCCTCTGAGGGCAAATAAGCATTTCAAAAAGCCTGGCCTTGAATAGGATGCTCATTTACTGACAGCGATTGCTGATGGCATTCAGAAACATGTACATTTTGATTCTGTTCATCACTGATTCGATGGGAAGGGACCGCATCTTGGCTCGCGTGAGACTCTTGACTTGATTCCTGAGTCAACTGCATGTGCCGAGCTGGATGTGAAGATCCTGCTAAGTGGATTTCTTCATTTTGTCCTTGATGAGCATGGAGGTGTTCTAGGGCTTCCTTGGAAAGAGTGATGACATGCATTTGTTCAGGCTGGGCAGCCTCTATTTGGTTTGCCATCATATTGATACTTTGGATTTGTTCTGCTTGATTCTGCTGAGCTGAAAGCAACAAGTTCTGCAATTGCTGTGGTGGCTGAGCAAGCAGTGTGAGATTAGCAGCCTGCCCTGTTGTCATATTTGGGGCATTTTCTGCAGTAACAATACTAATACCTTGATTATGACTAGGCATGAAGTTTATGTTATGCACTGCATCAGCAACCAGCAGCTGAATTTCCTGCCCTCCAGAGGTGGCAAGTTGATACTGCTGCAGCTGAAGAACGTTCCTCACCTCTTCTGAATTAGCGTTGCTGCTTGGAGCACTGCTGGCCTCCTGAAACTGTTTTTCCTTGCTGTGAATTTTCAAATGAGACTTCAGATTGTCCAGACGGGCAAACTGCAAACAACATTCTGGGCAGGAGAAAGGCTTTTTGCCTGTATGTAAGATACAGTGTCTTCTTTTAGCACTGGAATCAGAGAAGGATTTTCCGCATATACCACAAGAATATGGCTTTTCTCCTCTGCAAAAGAACATATTTGACCTTGTTAAAATACTCACTTTGAAAGCATTGCTTGTGGCAACTTATTATACAACTTAAATGTTTATTTTGACTTAAATGTTTATTTTGCTATATCAAAAGCACTTAAAAACAGACATATTAAAAATGTTTCCTATTTGATTTTCTGAATATTTCTGTCTATTTGACTTTCAAGAATTGCATGACAATATTGTCACTAGTATGTACTCAAGAGCTACAAAGACAACAGAACTGCCTCCCTGTTGTAATAGCGAAGGTACACATTCTATGCTGCTAGATCTTGACATGAGAAAACAGACAAAAACATTCAAAAAGGTGATGACGACACAAATACTTTACACAACTATAAGCACTGACCATTTTAAGAATGGTTATTGACAGCTAGGATTTTACAGAAAAAAGCTGACATTAAGTCTCTGCGTGTTAACTTGACGCCCATCTCGCCAGGACAAGGCATTTTACTGAAAACATTTTCTTTCACATAAGACTTGCAATAGTACTTCAATGATTTCAAATCTGACATGACTTTATGCAGTACATCAGGCTGACATGAGTAAAAGCTCATTAACGATGTTAACAAGACACGAAAGACTACAGAAAAACTCTCCAGGAACCTTTTTACACCATAGCTGCTATTCTGCTGTCCAACAAAAACTCACAGTAAAATTTTCTCATAAATAATATAGCAATAAGTATACTGGCATTAAAGAACAGATACAATACACAGAAAGAAAAGAATCTTATAATGTCTTAACACATTAACACTGCAATACTTTCCTCTACTAACAAAGGTATTTTTTAAAATATCTAAGAGCACCACGAACACATAAAAGTTATTTTCATTAAACACTATAAATTTTTTTTATCAGTTCCAATACACTACATACAAACAGATTAAACAAAAAGTCAGTCAATCCATCTACAACGCTAACAAGCCTTGACCATTCTGTAACTGAACCACCACCACATACCTAGATCAGAATAGAAAGAAGTTACATACTCTACCTGTGAATTCTAATGTGAGTCTGAAGAGAACTTTTCGCTGTGAATGATTTGCCACAAATTTCACAAGTGAATGGTTTCTCACCTGACAAAAGGAAGTTTGACATCAGTTGTCATATAGCACTTTTCATCAATATATTTTAAAACATTTTACAAAGGAGTACAATTATGCCTAGAATCATCATCTTTTCAATCTCAGGCCTGTATTTTACCCATAAAAACACGTTATGCCTCTTATCCTTAAACCTCTGTACATGGTATCGAGTGTAAATGTCAGTCAAATCCTCACGCTTCTGTCATGGGTCAATATGAATATCTGAAACTGAGGGAAGTCACTAGTTAAATGAAGGCATAAAATTTTAAAGGCACATTTCTGATGACTCTCCCCTTTGAAGATCAAGAATTAGGTGATCCAAGCCCTCAGAGCAAGAAAAGACATGCCTACAGCACAAATGCAGATGCCTCAAGCTGGCTGCACGTGGAACAAACAAGCGTGAAAAAGACTGACCCTGAGCATTACACCCTAATGCCAGGCTCACATCCAGCACCACGCAGACGAGTGGGCCCCTATTTCCAAACTTGAAGAGTGAACAAACTATCTTAACAGGCTGGCTAACTTCCTATAAGGCTCTACTCTAGGCCTGGGATATCCTGCGCATAAGGAGGAAACACCATTGTGATAAAAAATTAACTTGAGGTGGGTTACCAGAAGTTGGACAAATTGGGTTTTTACTGCATTTACAATTCTTGCGCCTAACCAAGTAGGAGCAGAGTCACTACATTAAATAACAATAAACAAATACACAATGAAAGGTACTGCAAACTCACAAAAGCAAAGCCTATTTCACAGTGTAACATTTTCCCTGTCATATTCAGTGTCTTTAAGGCACTACATATGGGCATCCAGACCACCACTGTGGTAATTCACACTGTTCAAGCACATTAGAACAGTAGCCAATTTCCAGGGAAGTTTCGCATTTAGTATACAATAGAATTTCAACACTTACCAGTCTTCATATGGCTGGGGGGGG